AAAATATATACAAGATATATACACATTGCAGCTCCTCGATACAACAGTTGAACCGAGTGTCCCATTGATTTCTACAAATTGATTGATTTTAATTCCCCGGTAATGAAGAAGAAGTCGTACCCTAATGCATATGGTCGCAGACTCTAAAGCTGCATGGAGACCATGGTTCGATTCAGGAATTGGACAGAATTTTCTTTTCTGGCATTATTATTTATTTTTTAAATTTAAGTTTAAAAAAAAGGCCGATTATTTAGTAAAAAGATACGACTTAATGATAACTGAAAGGTCACTGAAATGTACGCCATTCAGTCAACTGAATGGTAACTGAATGATCACGATAGAGTCATGAGAAAGGATCTTTTCAGTGACCATCCAGTGGGCATTCAGTTACCATTCCGTCGACCGAATTTCATCCTGTGAAATGTCTATGCAGTAAATCGATCAGGCCCCAAAACCATAAACTGAGAACAGACTTAAGTCAAAATTTTAAATTGCTATAACTTTGGAAAAAATTTCGATAATAACATAAAATTTTCAACAAATGTTTGAATTGAAGTATTTTACCACGTTGCAAACTTATCAGCTAATACATCGATTGGAACTGAAGATATTGAAAATTAAATTTTTGACTTAAGTTTACTCTCAGTTTATGGTTTTGGGGCCAGGTATGCAAAATCATATAGACGCAACGTCCATGCGAGAAGTGGGGTACTAAGTTATCGATGGAGTAAATCATTCAAAATGTTAATCCTTCCATTCGTATTAACCTACTACCATTTAAAAACTTTTGTCATTTGTACGTGTAGGAAATTCCCGGCGGCATAAGCATTGCTTATGATATTTAATGAAATCTTGAATGAATTCAGGATCAATGATGAAACACAAGAGGAAAAAAAGAATCTTCGCCCGAGTGTTTTAAAAGAATGTTTCAGTGAATTTGAAATGGTTACATGTATGTATACACAGTATGAGCATCTTCAGTTAGTTAAATAATTTACAAACGATAATGGAGAAAGAGAAATGCAAATAAAAATGTTTCCACAAGGCATAAAACTCTCTTGAGCCACTTAATCTTTACATTAATGTTTTTATGATGTTAAAGACCCAAGAAAATCAGTACATGAAGTAATATTTAAAGTAAATCAATACTTCTGAAATTTCTTTTTAATTTAATTTGGAAGCACTCTTTTTAGATTTTGTTAAATTAATTTACTTTTCTTCTTTTTAAGGAAACTTTAGATAAGTTTTACCAAAATCAGCTGTGCAGGTCAGGATTTAGAACTACATCATTAACAGGGAGAATTTTCAGTCTACAGAGCAGACTAAATAATCTTCTACATTCCACATATTAGTTAGAAAAATCTAAGTGTGTCTCAGGACAAGCCTTCACCACAGTTAGAATACCACCCTTATATCGCAATTTAGCAAGAAATTGCAGAATCGCTCTGAAACGATTTTGAAGAATACAAAAGGATTTGAACTGGAAATAACTTCAAATTTATGATAACAAAACTTTTTTGAGGTTGCATATGCATTTAAACCTAAAATATAATCCAAATAAAGACGAAAATTCAACTAATTCTTAAGGTATTTTTTCGCTTTAAATTTACACGCCATGTTTGCATTCAGAACCCTCTAGATTGTTCGTAGTAAAATGTCCTCTATACGAGTTATCGCTCGTGTTTATTTTGCTACATAGTGAATACATGGAAAGCATTCGATAGTTAAACCGGGTCCGTGGGACATTTATCATTTTAACAATAGAACATTCTTTCTATTTACATATCAGCTTGAGAAAAACAAGACCCCCTTGCCATTGTGAAAAAAGCAGATAAATATACATCAGGATTGATTGTGTATTATTTATACTGAGACAAAACATTATTAACATTTTTAAAAAAAAAATTTGACATCAGAACATTGAAAAAAGAGGTAACACTCAGGGCTAAGCTTAAGGCACAATTTTGGATTAGTGAATGTAGCATCAATGTTTGGTGTATCAGTGATTAATCATATGCCTGTGTTGACTTTATGTGTATTAAATGCTGTTTTTTTAAGATAAGTTATTTCGTTGCTGACAACAGGAGACGCATTTAACTCAGAAATTCTGATAGCATAATACATGTTTATTTATGTAATATTATGGTATCCACAATATACTGAATACAGTTTAGACAAGTTCATAAATGTGATGAATAACAATTCAAAAAGTGTACCACTGTCATTGTTTAATTCTGATATATATCAAACATATAAAGGTAAATGATTTATAAAGTGACATGACGATATATTACAACGAGAAACAAATGTTCCAACACCCAGTCCTAAACAAGTGTGTCACTACCTAGGGAAATTTGATATAACTAAGAAGGGAAAAAATATTTTGACATTATCAAATATATTTTTACTGTTATATGCAATGCACTGTATCAATAAACTTTTCTATATATCCATACCTGTCTTTATTTCTTTTTAACATCTTTTATGTTTACATTGCTTATTTTTTTATTTAATATCATTGATATTATTATTAAATACAGCATGTACTTGAGGGTAACATTGAAAATTTTCATCCCAAGAAAAACCATGGTCAGCTGAGATGCAGCTGAGGTTGACCATGGTTTTTTTAGGGGGAAAATATATTCAATGTTACCCTCAACTACAAGCTGTATTAAATATATCATACTAAATGTTTGATACGAAGAAATGTAACACTGAACTGTGAACGTATAAATTCTGCGCATGTAAACTTTTTTGAAATATCACCCGTCAAGCAATGTTGACTGTTGCTACGCTGGAAGGCGTAGTTTCATTGTTCATTGTTTGCCACCCTAGCAAAATATTATTATATATTAAGAAAAATTATTGTATAAATGTGGAAATTTTGAGCATATCTATTTCATTTTTAGCATAGGAAACCTTGCATAATCCCACAGAAAATAAAGATGATGAATACAGATGAACAGAAATCACTATTGTTAACCTGTGTGAGAAAAACACGTGCAGAAAGTACTCATTTAATTTATCTTGACCTATTAAAATGTTTCAAATGCTTAAATTCATTACAAATTGATTAAAACACTAAAGAGTTCATTTTTTTTTTAATTAGATCTAGGAGTATCTAATACTCTTATTGCAATAGAAATACCACAGAATCAGATCTGTTAGTTAGCAGTGTAGAGAGGATTCTAAGGCAAATATAAAAAAATAATTTAAAAAAAATATATCAGTTTGTTCAAATCAAAAATATTGTGGGATCTGGAGGAGTGGTGTTGTGAATAAAATGCTACAAAACACATCAAATAAGCCTACAACAAAACATAATTTGTCCAGCGTCGGTAACAATTAAACATTGGGAAATCTCGGCGGTAATGATTGCAATGTTTACTAAACAAAAGAACTACGAACGATGTTATCGTTCTCCCGCCTACCTTTAAGTCAATTCTCAAAAGTTAACATATTCGAATGATTTTCAAATTTCTTTTTTAGATATTTATATGAATTTTCATAAAACGTTACTTATTTGGGATACCAAAGATAGATAACTCTATAATTTTGGTAACACTTCTGTTTTTCACTATAGAAATCAACGGAAAACGGAAAATATTTTAAAACATCCCCCCGTAAAACAAAAATTCCTTTTTTACAGGTAATATGGCCTGTCATTTTACAAATTTATGCCAAAGCTTTTTGTGTTTCACGGGGGGGGGGGGGGGGGGGGGGGGGGCATATGTTTCTGGACAAAGAACGAAAAAAAAAATGCTGATTTTTCACCAATTTTAAAGCTATTTACAACTAGATAATTGTATTTTATTAATTTAGATATATTTTATTTATTTGTGTATAACATAAGAAAATATATGAGATACATTTTATCATATTTAAGACTTTTTCAAAATATGGTGATTCTTGAAAGCTCGATTTCACTAGAAAATATCGTCTACCCCCCTTTTTTCAAGCGCTGGAATTAACGATAATTTACTATCTAGCGCTGGAATTACAATGATTAATCATTTACCATAGAACTGTTATTTGTATTAAACAAAGATTTAATGGCCAAATTGCCATTAATATTGAATTTAATGGGTGCAAAATGTAGGCGGGAATCAAGAGTTAGAGTTCGTAGTTCTTTGTCGATTTTATTGTAAACAATGAAAATAATTAGTCTACTCTAGTTTGTCCGATCTACTCTGTAGAACCCTGTAGGCGACAGTTAAACTGACCTTCAAGTCGGTTGTAAACGGATCTAGCGGTTACAATTACTCTTCCTTCCCATTTCTACTTACTTAAAATTTGTGCTTAAAACATTAATTAAACTTATAAGACTTTCGACAAACGTATCTTTAAAATTTGTAAGAAACAAGCTCAATGTGTTTTTTCCTTGCGATTCTATAAATCGCATCCATGCTGTTTACGTTAGTTTGACGGCGTCTGCAACCAAGTGATTTTCATTCCATCGGTGGGCGTATCGTGGAAGCGTGAATTACGTTATTTCTGATAGACATGCAATCACTTAAGGTATAAATGATATTTAATGCATTGTTAACTACAATTAAGCAGTTTCAGTTTTTCAGAAATTCACAGGGCGAATTAAGGCCATAAGTGAACCTTGTTCTTCCGAACTATACTAGGCACTCATGAACATGAAGAAGTGAGGGATCTGTTTTCGTGCCAGCACCTACTGAGACATGGGATCTTGGTTTATACGGTCTTATTCCAAAGGACCGGTCTCCACGTCCCACAGGAATTCGATCCTGCGACTAAAGGATTAACTACTTACCCTGCAGTTCTAGAGCAGACACGTTTACATGTATCACGGCGCAAAGCGGGCGACTCGCAATACCTTAAGAAATGAATTTGATATCGGATCGAAACCTTTAATAATAGTTTATTTCCTCCACAAGTAATCTAACTGTACAACAATTTATATTTACAATTGTTTTATCTTACCTTAACTTTGTAGTATCTTAACACTTTTGTTTCCGATTTTGCCAACATACCTGCTGATATCATATGCAGAACATCCATAGTACACAATCAGAGAAGAAAGCAGCCCTGAAAATTTGTAAACGTTTTGAGATTAAAATTATTTCAATAACAAATTATTGTTTATGCAATACTTTAATGTTTACTCATGAAGTCTGATTGATTTAGAGCATTAAGCAATTTTTTACGTTATCCTCCGCATTAGTAACACACTTGGTAACCGCTAACGTAAGGATGTTGTATGATGCGTAAAAGTTATGGGCGTTCGGTTCGCCATGGAATTTTAAATGCGTAATTTGTGCTTTGAAATAAGCTGAAAAAACACGATGTTACTTTTAAGTTGGCAAAGTAAGATTATATGTCAAAAAAAATAGGAAAGATGCTTTAGAGCGCGATAATTAACAAAAGTATTGTAAAAAAAAAGTATATTTTTAGTACCAACAAGACACTTGAGAGGTTGGGTAAAAAGGTTTGCAGCTTTAATATCTAGAAAATTGTAAGTGCATTGTTTCTAGGCCTATCAAAGGAGACCTGGTTTCAACAACAATATCTGACTTTTTAATTAATCAATCAGAATTCCAAATAATTTTTTTTTTATTTTTAGGAGGGTAACAGTTGAAATTGACATCCCTAGAAATAAAGCTGCCAACCGACACATCAGAGTTAAAAATATTTTTTTTCTCGAGTTGTCAATGTCATCTGTTATCGTCCAAAATATTTACTAGCTATACAGTGTAAAATGTGCTATATTTGAAAAAAGACAGAATGATAAAAGAATAAACGTATAGTGTGCCACTCTGTTGTTCTGTAGATACCTTATTTTTCGCGACAAATCGCGAGAATATAATTCGCGAATGTACGGTTGATAAAGAGATTTTGCATTGATTTCAGCATCATAAATTTAAAATGAAAGCGAGTGAAGCTATTTAGCGAGTGGTGCTTCTCGCAAAATTACGCGATTATTAATTAAACGCTTATACGTAGGAATTTAAAGTATTTGATGTTAAAATATAACCAATATAAGCCTTTGGGCCGTGACTGATAATTCATGTCATATGAAAAATTATGGAACGCCGTCACTGCCTTATAGCAGAACACAACAATTGCATTGTGTCAACCTTCCATTACGTTATTTCAACTCTTTATGACATTAACCCGCACTATTATTGCATTGTGTCAACCTTCCATTATGTTATGTTAACTCTTTATGACATTAACTCACACTACTACTACATTGTGTCAACCTTCCATTACGTTATGTTAACTCTTTATGACATTTACTCACACTACTATTGCATTGTGTCAACCTTCCATTACGTTATGTTAACTCTTTATGACATTAACTCACACTACTACTGCATTTTGTAAACCTTCCATTATGTTATGTTTACTCTTTATGACATTTACTCACACTACTATTGCATTGTGTCAACCTTCCATTATGTTATGTTAACTCTTTATGACATTTACTCACACTACTATTGCATTGTGTCAACCTTCCATTACGTTATTTCAACTCTTTATGACATTAACCCACACACTACTATTGCATTGTGTCAACCTTCCATTACGTTATGTTAACTCTTTATGACATTAACTCACACTACTACAGTACTGCATTGTGTCAACCTTCTATTACGTTATGTCAACTCTTTAACCCACACTACCCTTGCATCGTGCCAACTTTCCTTTACATTATATCAACTCTTAATGACATTAATACATACTACAATTATATTTTATCAACTTATCAAATCCTTAAGTATTGTTAATTTTTATTTACATTGTGTAAAAAAAAATCGTACCATTATTTCAACACCAATTTCCATGATGTAAATATATCATATATATAATATCAACATTGTATTACATTAGGTAGATGTACTCATACATTATATAGACGCTCTTTATATTGAAGTTGGTAGTAAATTTATGTGATGCGAAAATAGTAAATACACTACGTCAATATTTTATAACGTGATATGAATACAGTATATGTCTTATATGTCATGCCAATCCTCCATTCCATGATATGAAATTATCTTCTCATGCTAAAATACCATCTTAGTTTTTATTAATGAACTGATGTGAAAGGCTCATGTCATACTGTGCGCACCGTTCTACATTATGTCTATTCACTAAATACGTTATACGAACACGGATATCCTCGGCCTTTATATGAGCATAACGTATTTTCCGCGTTCCGCAAGCATTAAAATTGGCGGGAGAGAAAACTGCCGTAAAAGAAATTCTGAGCGATTGGGGAATGGCATCTTTAAATAAAAACTTTAAAATGTGCAAATCCTTAACACCGAGACTGTGAATTAAAGTCACGTCGAAATTCAATGGCATTTACTTTAATCTGAAAATTAAATAAATCAAATATTACATGATTCGTGCAGCAGTTGTTTTTCTTTTTATTTTGATTTTTTTTTTGGATAAAAGTCTTCTGATCTTACTAAAAACATTGTCATAAGTTTTATTTTTATCAGTCTTCAACTTTCCTTTTTTAAAAGTGTTAACAGATCGTATAGCACACGTGCACTAGTGGGTTGGGGGGGGGGGGGGGGGATCCCGCCTTTCCATTTTTAGTGACCAAATATACATAAAATTAATAAATTTATTGGTTTTACTTTGTAGGACATTGCATTAGTTTCACATTAAGTTTAACTGAATTAAGTTGAAAACTTTTTTCTCTATAAAACTATAAAGCCCGAGAGCTTCTCCGCTTTCCCCTTTGGTCTCCAACCATATACCGTCCCCCTTCCTTACTCAAGATTCCCATATCCGCCACTCATATGTGCCCATGCATGCTTACTAAGGCATATTCAGTTTATTAAGATGAGGGACTGTTAGATTTTTGTAATAGAATTCTGGCCCTGGAATGGTTGAAAAAAGAACTAATTCCAGTGACGTAGCATCTGTTTTGATGAGGGGGGGGGGGGTCAGCCAGAAAAAATATTTGCCCGAAATAACTTGACAAGCCAAAAAAAATTGTCCAATCCCGAAAATCCTATTTCGGGGAGGGGGGGGGGTCCAACTTCGATCAGTCCTATTTTTTTTCCAGATATACTACATTACCCTCAGTGGACTATACTTCAACAACAAGTGGGGGTGGGGGTTGTACTTTCAATTAACATTACATTTTCTATAGCAAAGTTATGTTTGGGAAAAGAGGGGGGGGGCTGATATTTTGTGCTTGTAATTATTCCTTTTCATTCAGGACCCCCTCCTCCTCTTACCAGTCATTAAAACACGGTCGTCAACATTCATTATACAGCTTTGAGATAATGTAAATGTATTTTTACATCAAGTAATGCACTTTTGGAATACATGATAAAGAGTTAACACGATATAAAGATATTTTTAGATCACATAAGAAAGAGTTGACATAACGTAATTATATTTATCCCGCTTCAGACAAATTTGTAGATTGCTTATTGGATAAAGGCTGATCACATGACACCCTGAAATTTTCCGTATTACGTCGCCGTCAAGGAGTAATATGAAAATCGCGCACGCGATTACGTTCGAAGCGTTGCTTTTGTAAATAAAAATGGCGGCTAAGAAACAGTTACGTAGGTAGTTCTTATTACCGTAACGATATTTTATGTTGATTGTTATTGGATTAAAACTTAATACTTTCATAATATGCACAAATATTATTTTTGTATTGAAAAAGGTCTTCAGCGGGATAAATTCTTAACACAGTCAGTTAAGGACCTAATACAGATTCATAGAGGGTGTGAAATAGAATTCCGTATTGGGACTCGGCTTCGCCTCGCCCAATAGGGATTTCCATTCCCTGTATGACTCCGTATTAGGTCCCTAACTTACTGTGTAACTAATAATCCACATCACGGAATGGAGTTTTAACATAATGTAATAAAGTGTTGATATAATATAAAGATATGTTCACATGTTATACACTTTTTACACCACGTAATAAAGCAATGACATAAAGGTAAGATGTGTTCACCTCATATCATGACACTCTCGCCGTAAGATAAAGATAAATCCATGTCACGCAATAATGCTTTGATATAATAGAAATATACACTCTCAAAAAGGAATGGATTTTTGACTTCATGTAATGATAAGTTTAATTATAAAACACAATTTACTTAACGTAATGCAGTTTTGACCTTACATGTTAAAGAAATGAACTGATGTAAAGAAACATTCATTTCATGTAATAAAGTTATAACACAATGTAAACACAATATCACTTCACATAATGAATTTTTTACTTCAAGTTATGAAGTGGTGACATAATGAAAGGATTTATTTACTTCATGTAACGCAGCATTGACATGATGTTAAGATATTTTTACATCATCTCGAAAAACATTGACATAACGTAAAGATATGTTCACATCATGTAAGGGTAAATTGACAAAATAAATGCATAGTTGTTTGCTATAAGGCAGTAATGGCGTTCCATAAAAAATGGTACGTCTTGTTATGTGTATTTCAAACTAAGTAATAAGATACATCTAATAGATATTGATTACATTAATATGTAAATGAACATAAATTCAAAACTGAGAAAATACGAAGAAAAACAAGATGGTACTTAATTCATAAGCAACGATCTGTGAACGTTTAATTCACAAGGAGCGTACAATCATAACATACACTTTGGCACCTAGGGGTCGTAACATAAAGCTTGCTAAGATTTTAACTTAAGTAGGGCCATACTTATATTTAAAGCACATTTCTAGGACCTGTATTAGTACTACTTAAGTATTTTTTAAACCGTAACATATCACGAATTTAGCGAGGTCTTAGCTACATGCAAGTCAAACTTATGTTCACAATTTTTCTCATGAATCATGCTAGTTTTTTTTCAATTTCTGTACTTGAGTGATGAAAAAAAAATCAGTTATCCTTTGTTAAGATATATATAAATTCAACGTCCTCTCCTAAGTTTTTAGTACGGCTCATTGTATTTAGAACAAAAATTCTTTTAAAAATGATTACTAAAATAAACTAGAGGTACTGTGAGCAATGAGCTCACTAAATGATACCCCCCGCCTCCCATATGAATAAAATGGCAGTGTCCATGT